GTTTTCAATGCATTCCTATGGGAAATGGTGTTTTGCTTAACGATGTTTTCCCATAGCGATGTTTTTTTGGAACCAATTAACATCGTTAAGCGAGGCACCACTGTATCCCCATTTATAATTGGGGAGGTGGCAGTTTGCCAGATCACATTTATTCCTTTAACCATTTAAAAAAAAACTCTTTTAGCATCAATTTCTGCCTCTACCAACTTCTGTAAAATGTCACAGATGCATGCTTGCCTCATCTTTATTTTATATATCTTCGGAATTACAGAATGAATGCTGTCTTTATATTGATAATATGTTACTGTAAGAATGAAGTGACAAAGTTAACAAATTTTATGATTCAAAAAACAACTATTTCATTCCTTTAGTTTAAAGTAACCAAGGTGATTGTAAATGAATGAATTCTGAATTATTTAAACTTATGCTATGGTGTCTCACAACTCATACTTTAATTTTATCAGAGTCTCCTGAAGATGTGGCTCCAACAGTTGGTTTTTCTAAAATTGACCTTAAACAAGGCCGATTTGAGGTCACAATCTTTGACTTGGGAGGCGGAAAGCGAATCCGGGGTATCTGGAAGAATTACTACGCTGAGTCCTATGGGATAATATTTGTTGTGGATTCCAGTGATGTGGAGAGAATGGAGGAGACAAAAGAGACGATGTCAGAGGTTTTAAGGCATCCAAAGATATCGGGGAAACCTGTATTAGTGTAAGTAGCATAAATTAACAAATATTTATATACCGCTCCATTAGCTCAATAAATGTACGTATATCTAAAACATTTGGAGCTTGTGATACACTCTCCTCTTTAAGCAGCTTTTAAAGATTTGTTTATTTCTAAGCATAAAGGAACAGAACAGGGAGATCACCCTCTATTGTGCTGTTCCTGAAATAATTAGAAATAATATGTTTGATAAGGATTAGCTCTTTTACCTCTGTGCAGGGTGTATTGAAATGATATAGATAATGTCCCCATATTTTCTGGGGTTTTTTTTGTTTTTGTTTTCCAGCACTGACTTTAGTGGCAACTGTTAATTGTTTTGAAAAATAGAATAATGGAGACAAGTAACATGACCATTGCATATGTATAACCTCATCATATTATTAGCACATATTCAACACAAGAGGGTGCAAGTGATGCATTGTCAGTAGTCATTAATTTCAGAAAACTATTGAATGATTATCTCTCAATATATTTCTCAAAAATATTCCCATCTCCTAAGAGTATGCTTAATATAATGGCGTAGCAGAAGGTAAATGCACTGTAATTTAGACACCTACAGAGTAAAATAGTTGTCAGCCTGTGCAGAAGATATTAGGGAACATGATCATTATCCAGTTTAAGTCTACCAGTTTTAATATAAAAGACGTCTTGATCAGGACATCAAAACCACTGGGACTTCCAAGGTCTTACCTTTTGGCTGGATCACAACCTACCTATTTAATCAGTTTGTAGGTGTGGCATGTCCTTTCCTATATAATATCTTTTGCTTCTTCCTTGGCTACTACCAGAAGTATGTTTTAGTTAAGAATATTCTTAATTTATATCTGGAACTGTTTGTTTATAGATGGGTCTTTACAGGTGGAGATTTAAATCAATGTCAGATTGTTATTAACAAATATTAACAAAGATTAGTGCGTCTTTAAGTGCTACGTGGTGGTACATAAGCAGCACACTTTTTTTGCTTTTACAATAAACATGGCTCAGAGATTTGTTTAGAATAAATTATCTATAGCTGACATTTGTCACTTTGATTCCTTGAAAGAATGATACATGCTTATACACCTACTGTTGCAGTACTCACTTGAAATATTTGCAAGTATAGCAAATGAATATGTTTCTAGGCAGTTATCTGCACTGACCTATTTAAGCTAGCATAAGTTTGTAATATTAGAGTATAAATAACATTCTGTCTTTCTGGACTTGTACTGATAATTAGATTTTATTATCTCTGGAATGTTAGCCAATGTTTCTAAAAGTCCATCAGTTTTCACAGTCTACAAATTGTCTATGTATACATGTATGTGTATGTAAAAACATTTGTATGACATATATGAGATAAGCAGTAAATAGTTAAATTGGCTCTGGAGTCTTGCTGTTATCTAGCACGGGTGGTCTAGCTGAAGACGAATTCTCTCTTTTTCTAATCTTGTATTACTGAAAATATTGTCTGGTGGCAGATGTATGTACACCCTCCTGTACTGTCCTTCACACCTCAGAATATATGGCAAGATTTGTCATACAGGTATGCAAATACACATCAAGATGTCATAGTTATATAAAAAAATTAAGCCATACTTTGAGTTAGAACATTTCTGAGAATGAGAATTTCAGAAGGACTGCTACCTTCAGTTCATGCAGCAAGAGAACAGGATTTAATTTTTGTATTTGTTCATCTCTGTTCTCATTGTTTTCTTTATGAAAACAATGTACTGTACAAAATAGAGTGTTTTTATAGGGGCTGTTTTAACTTGGTTTTGATTAATTAGCACTGAAAGCAAGTTTGGCATTTGGCAATATCAGGACATCCTATGCTATTTAGTTATTACATATGGATAATATGTTCCTCTCAGTAATAGGTTTCAGCAGCAAATCTCAGGCTTTTTTTTTGTTTGTTTACTGTTTTATTTTTGTTCCCTGGGTCTCTTTTACCACACCTTCTCAACCAAAATGGAAATGAGGGGTGCTCAAAGTGGCGAGACTGCTTGCTAGCAAACCCTCCTTACTAGGCATTGGTATTGTTGGTGTAACTGACACTGGGTCAGTATATGGCCAGTTTATTGGTCTTGATCCAATAGTTGAATACCAGCCAAGTTATATATTAGACCCTGCACAAATTTTGTATCTGCAGCATTAACTCTGTTGTAGTGCAAGTTGATTAAAGCCTCTGTGAATTTTAATTGGAAAGGTGGGGTACACATGCTAAAAATATGTATTAAAAGGAATCTATATCAGCCCTAGTTTTTGTAGAAAGACAGCAATTTGAATTGTAACTTCACTGTGTGTCTGATTTAATAGGGTAGGTGAAATTTTGTCATGCATAAGCCAAAGACAGTACTTCTGGCCACTTTTTGAGCTACAGTGGGGCCTCGACTTACGAACACCCCCTACCTACGAACATTTCGACTTACAAGCAGCTTCGCTCACAAAATATTGCTTCGACTTGCAAGCGGAGCTGCGACGTAAGAACAGGAAAAGGCAGGGGGGAAAGGGTGGCTGCTCCATCCTCTGGCAAGCCCCTCTCAGACTAGCAGCCACTGCTGCTGACTTCTCAGTCCCCGCCACTGTCGCCCAGTGTGAGTGCCATTCAGGGACTGACTGCCGTGCCTTCAAGATGCTTGACAAAGGTGAGTCCCCCGTGCCTGCCAGCCCTGCACGGAGGGAGGAGGATGAGCACCGCTGCTAAAATTTGCCCTGCTGCCAGGGGGGGTGTATGCCAGAGGTGGACATGGACCACAGCCTGGCCAACTTTTGCCAGCCCCCCGGGGAAAGCGGGTGCCGCAGAAGGAATGTGCTGGGGCTGGCCGTGGCTCCCGGGTGCGCTCCGCTTCCCTTGGCTCCGGGGCGCCTAGGATCCCAGCACCCTGCGCGCAAGTGTGCCCAATGACCCTGGGGAGGGGCTCTTGCCGCCATGGGATGGGGGCGGCGGGGAGGAGGGAAGGAGGGGGCCTCACTCCTGTCGCACTCGGCCGCCTGTGTGTCCTTGCGGGACTTCCTCCCCAGACAGGGGCCAACCTTCCCCCCCCCTGAGATGGTGAGGTAATGGGCGGACTCCCAGAAGCCTTCCGGAGGCAGCGCTGGAAGCCCAGTACAGGAGGTTTAAAATGGAATACCTAGTGTCAGACACTTGTTTGATGGTAAAACTAGGTGGGATTAACTATATATTAATCTAAACTCATCACAGAGATGTGAGAATTTTAATTCTGAAATCAAGATAATAGATAATTTACTCTTTAGTAAATGTGTTTTAGGATTTTTGCTTAGGTTCAATTATTACTGATCGTGTTAAATTAAATTTTCTTTAATCACCTAATATACATTGTCACCAAACACTCTGCTATTCATTTTTAAGGAAGCTTTAACCATTAGTACCTGCAAGAAATCTGGATAGCTCAGGTATCTGACTGCAGGGCCAGAGAATTTGATTTCCCACTGTTCCTCCTTAAAGGAGCAAGACTCGGTGATCCATAGGGTTCCTTCCAGCTCTGCAGTTCAAAGATGATGATGATGGTGATGATGATAGTTATTGTTATCAAATGTGACTATCATAATGTATTGAGACATGGTTTGACACAAATACTATTCTCCCCTCTGTGATATCTTATTATTTAATGCTGGTCACTGTATCTTGTTAACCTTTGCTTGAACCATACAAATTGAAGCAGACTCTCTTAAGTAGGTGGAAGAAACAGCATCAGTCACACATAAGATGACAGAAAGCTTGTTTTTGTTTTACATGTATGCATATTGGAAGTGTCCTAGCAAATTCCAGGGCCTCAACAGTGTATCTTTATAACACAGATATTTTAAATGAAGTATATGAACAATTGTAAGTTGCAACAAAATCTTGCAGTCTATTAATACCTTACTGTTAGGGGAATAGGTGTTTACAACTCTCGACTGTCTTGAACGGGAGCCTTGGAATATGGTTCATATTTCTTCTGCATAAGGTTGGATTAGATTTCAATGATAGGAAACATATAAAGAAAGTTTTTCTGTCTATCCTCTAGCCTTTCCTATACGTACTGGAAAACTGCCACAGAATTATGAGGTCATTTCTGTTGCACAGGAAGAGTTTTAAGACAGTGATGTGATATTTTCTCTCCTTTTGAACAGGAAATAATGCTCCCTGAATTAATAACAATTGCATGTTGTGAATTGAATTTTGATTTATGGCAGCCTTTTCCAGGGTTTTCTACCAATCTCTTCTTTCTGGGGATACACTATGACTGTGCAGCTTGCCCACGGCCACCCAGGCTGGCTGTTCCGATAGGAAGAGGGCACAGTGGGGAATTGAACTGCCAACCTCTGAGTCTGCAGCCAGATACCTAAATCACTAAGCTATCCAGCCAGCTACCCTGAGTTAGGAGTGTTTATGATTTTGTGTATGTGTGTATGTATCAGACTAATAAGAAAGTGAAAAACCAGCTATTTGATGCTCTTGCTAGAAGGGAACACTCTTTTTAAAAAAGAAAAATAGACTTCTAACCTGTAACTTGTGTAACAAGTATACATAATTCTTCCTGACACATACTGTAAACCTGTGCATAGCAGGAGAGGAATGCTGATGTGTTTGGTAAACCAGGGCAAAGAGACATAATACTGCATGCTGCTTTTCCAAAATCTTTTTATGAATCTTCAGATGCTTATATGTTTCTGTCAACCAAAATTACCTAGGTTTTTTATTTCCAAATAGAAAATGCATATACCCCATATCTATAAAAAATAAACTTTGTTTATGCCTTTTCCTCATCAGAAATAGTTTTCTTACCTTTGAAGCTTTGTTTCTGTCACCATCCCTGTCACATAGTCCGGAAGAGATAGATCAGTAACATATCCTCCCAGGGGGGAAAAAGTTGTTTTGATAGAATATACATCTTCTTATTCATCTTAAACACATTGGCTATTCCTGAATTTTCCCAGGTGCTGTTAGATAGAGTGGTGCCTCGACTTATGACCATAATCTGTTCCAGAAGATGGACGTAAGTCGAAATGGTCATAAGTTGAAGCACCATTTCCCATAGGAATGTGTTGAAACCCCATTAATCCATTCCAGACAAAGGAAAAAAAACACAAAGAAAAAATCACTGCAAGACTAATTGGAAACACATTTAATCCTTTCCCGCTGAAGTGGGGGGGGAAACAAAAGCAATCAAGCGTGCAAGACCCATTGGAAATGCACAGAAAACAAACGGAACAGATTGGAAATGCACATAGAACAGAGGGAAAAGGTCGGAAATGCAAAGGAAAAAGCAAGGGAAGCATGCAGGACCCATTGCAAATGCACAGAAAACAAACAGAGCAGATTGGAAATGCACAGAGAACAGAGGGACAATGTTGGAAAAGCAAAGAAAACAAGGAAAAAGCAAGGGAAGCAATCAGGACCCATTGCAAATGCACAGAAAACAAAAGGAGCAGATTGGAAATGCACACAGGGACAAGGTTGGAAATGCAAAGAAAACAAAGGAAAAAGCAAGGGAAGCATGCAGGACCCATCAGAAATGGGGGGAAACCCAAAAAACAAACCCCCCAAGACCCATCATAGCACAGAAACATAACCCCCCATAAAACCACACTGCGAAAACACCCAGAACAGTTTTAAAAAGCAGAAAACAGCACCTTACCTTACCTAATAGACAGTCCCAAGTCTCCCTGCAAACACACAAACGCTCACTGAGAAGGAGAAGACAGGCAGTCCTTCCCGGATCATACTCACTCTACCGTCAGGGTGAAAGAGCTACAAAGAAGCAGCCTCTTTTGCCACCTACAGTTAGCAATTTGAATTTCCCGCCTTTTCCCCCTGCCTTTTTCTGTTCGTAAATGGAAGCTCCAGTCTCAAGTAGAAGCAAAATTTTGCGACCGGAGCTGTTCGTAAGTCAAATTGGTCATATGTAGGGATGGTGGTAAGTTGAGCGAAATCACTGTAGAGCGAAAATGTCGTATAGAAATATTATTTGCACGAAAAATGCTAGAAATGAAATGAAAACAAATTCTGCAGGCTGCAAACACACATATTCCCTCCACATCCATATTCTGTTTCTCTATTGGTCTAAGGAAGCTGGGATAAATAACTGTAATCTCATCATATATCTGAGTGTTTTTGGGAGAACCAAATCAAAAACGTGAATAAATAGGAATATTTTTGCTCAACCAAAAGAGGAGCATTTTTTCTTACTGTCACCTCCCATTTGTAGTCCCTGCAACATGATTGTCGTAAAGCAAAAATTGGTTGCAGAAACAGAGAACCGATCAACGTTAAGTGAAATTCCCCCATCTAAACATCGTTTTGCGATCCCAAAAGTGATCGCAAAAACTTCAATGTTAAGCTTATTCCTCCATCTAAACACCGTTTTGCAATCGCAAAAGCAATTGCAAAAACTTCAACCTTAAGCGGATTCGTCGTGAAGCGGGGTAATTGTCTAGCGGGGCACTACTGTACTTATAGAAATATTATTTGCACAAACAAATGCTAGAAATGAAATGAAAAACAAATTCTGCAGGCTGCAAACACACATATTCCCTCCACATCCATGTTCTGTTTCTCTATTGGTCTAAGGAAGCTGAGATAAATAACTGTAATCTCATCATATATCTGAGTGTTTTTGGGAGAACCAAATCAAAAACGTGAATAAATAGGAATATTTTTGCTCAACCAAAAGAGGAGCATTTTTTCTTACTGTCACCTCCCATTTGTAGTCCCTGCACCATGTTGTTGTTTAGTCGTTTAGTTGTGCCCGACTCTTTGTGACCCCATGGACCAGAGCACGCCAGGCCCCCCGTCTTCCACTGCCTCCCGGAGTTTAGTCAAATTCAAGTTGGTAGCTTCAATGGCACTGTCTGTCCATCTAGTCCTCTGGCATCCCCTTCTCCTCTTGCCCTCACACTTCACATCACGGTCTTTTCCAGGGAGCCTTCTCTTCCCATGAGATGGCCAAAGTACTGGAGCCTCAGCTTCAGGATCTGTCATTCCAGTGAGCACTTAGGGTTGATTTCCTTTAGAATAGATAGGTTTATTTACCTTGCAGTCCAGGGGACTCTCAAGAG